GAGGCGTATGTCGAAGCGCATTTCCGACGTGTCTGCCATGAGGCAACGTATCTCGTACGACATCGGAGCGCGCCAAGCCGCTATGACCGGAGCTCGTGATGTTGAGGATGATCGTGCATCCTCAGTCGCCGCCACTCTGGATGATGACCTTGATGTACTGTCTGCACGCGAGCTATCTCCACCGCAATCCCCTATTGGTACCGGGCGCGACGAGCTAGCCTCCGAGGGCATTGCCAGACAAGATTCGGATACCGTACCAAGCGAAGCCTCGTCGGATGTTGCACAGGATGAGCGAAAACTTCCACAAGCTGCGGTATCTCGTCAATCCCTCACTATCAGTACCGACCCCAAGAATCTTATTTCCAGTTCAGAGGCAAGCAGCGTGTACAAGAAGTCCAAGACTTCCGGTTCGGTCGCTCAATCCCAGGGCTCACAGACAGAGCAAGGTGGATCCCAATTCGGCAGTCTGAAGGATGGTCTCCTGCCACAAAGATTGTCCAAAGTAGCCTTGTCCTACCGCACAAACGAATGGGCCAAGCATCTCGAGTCTGCCGAAAAGCCCGACTATGAAGACACGTTCATGCCTTCATCGCCTGGAGTGATGCTCGCAAACGGATCGGAAGAACTACCTGCGCCGATCAGTGATGAGCTAGCAGCACCGCTCGTTGCCAACAGGCGTGACTCGAGGTCGTCCGCCGGTAGCAAGAAGAGAAGCAGCAGCCACGGTCTTCAGAGGAATTCTTCGCAGACTTCGCTTGCCCGCCGCATGTCGTACACACAATCACCGCCAGTTGGCTCTCTTTCTCGATCTAGCTCTGCTACCAGGCTCGATGTTCTCTCCCCTCTTCCTTCCAACACACTTCTCAGCAAACGTGAGAGTCTGATCAAGAACCGAGCGTCTTCTCTAACGCTAACACGTTCCTCTTCGGCGCTAGCGGATCGGGGCGACGAAGAAAACATGACACTAGCACAACGCCGCCAATTGCTCCAACAGCAACCTATTGAGTCCCCCCTAACATCGCCGAGGAAAGCGCCACCTTCGACAGGGCAAAAGTGGCAGTCGAAGCCATGGGCGGTCAAGGGTGCGCCAGCAGGCTTTGACTCACATCAACCCAGGCGTACGAGCAATTCTCAGTCCGACCAGAGGCGAGAGCAACTGTACTCTGGCTGGCGCGATAACATGCGCGATGCTACGCCTTCGCAGCCAACAGTTAACCTTGCCGAACAGCAGCGCATTGCACTGATGAACGAGAAGAGACAGAAGGAGATGGAGAAGCAGCAGCGCGAGCTTATGCAGCAACAGCGGGCTAGCCAAATGGATAGCATGATGCGTAGCGGTCACATGATGGAGGCGCATCGCGAGGCAATGAGGAAGTTGCAGGCGAATGCTAACAAGCATGCTTGATTATAACATTTGATGAAAAAAGGTCATGTCCCAATGTAAATATATGGCAGGACGATGGCAACGGGTTCAAGGTCACGGACCTGAAATGGATGAGGGATGGATTTCTATGTATATATACCTTTTCATATTTGGGGATGATTCACTTCTGGCCTGTCGTGTAGAAAGACAGAGCGTATGTTATAGCCCAATAGGAATAGCACGCTTATGAAGTGATATACAGTATCATGACGATATAACGCACGCAATGATGATGATCAGCAGTGTTGATGAGGGGGTTCGATGAGCATGGACTTGCTTGGCTGACTATAGCAGAAAACGTGTGATGATAATGGGCGTCTTTCCAAAGGATTGGTTGCTGTCTAGGTATATGTCGGCCATGTTTTTCGTGTGCAGGAAAATGAGGCTTGAGGGTCAAGGGGACGGTGGGGCGCAGCGGCGCAGCCACCGTGTCTCGCATCACACATGGCATGCAGCAGGTCAACAAGAGGCACAGCCCAGTATGACGCGATTTGCACAGATTGTCACTGACGTGATTGATGTGCAGTCTGTAAGTAGCATCGTCGGAACAAAATGGGGCAAAAAGGGGCAAGTGGTACGAGCTAGCGGTACAAGCGAAGGGGAATTATTCTAGCACTAGGGCGCAGAACACGGACGAACATGTCTCTTTTGAAGCTTGGTGCAGGCCAGTTGGATCCGACAGGCCGGGCTTGGGAACTAGGACGGGGTATTGGCGGGTTAAAAGGACAGAAGGAAGGGTGAGGGCGTGATGGTGTGGGTAGGTGAGGCGGGTGAGATTGTGAGATTTCATCATGATCGGAACAGGGCGGACACACGTCGATATTATGGGGAAGATTTGCGACGTGATGAGCATAATAACGCCAGGTACGTGGGCGATGAGATGATGGTCGAGGGAAATTGGAGATTTTCACACGTGAGTTTGGCCATGTCTGACGGTGCTGCTGCTATGTAGCGTAGTGACGGAGGTCTTGCATGCACCACGATGGTTACGTGCAGCGGCGGCGGGGCAGAGCCGAGAGGAGTGATTAGTCAGGGTTGGATACGTGCTGAGAATAGAATTTCTTTTCCATTTGGCTAGAGAAGAACAATATGCGTGGGCGTCGGTGGGAGGTGGTGAAACATCGGCCGAGCAGTCGTCAGGATTACAATGGGAGGGATTAGAGAGAGGTGTTGAAGAGGACAGGCAGGACGTCGAGTTTGTTGGTCCTAGGTACTTACTTAGGTAGCTGGTCGAGCAGAAGGGTGGTGGTGCTGCTACTGCTCATTGCCGACGGGCTTAATGCAGGCACAGGCACACATGACGGAGGCGTTGCAGGGGTCGCAGGGCAGCGCTCGATCCAATGTTGCGCCGGGGAACATGGGAATTGGCCATGGCCTGGCAAGCCTGCTGGGGGCGCTTTTTGGGGAGCATGCCTGTGCCCCAGTCTCGCCGTACGGGCAAGGTGCAAGCCTTCCTGACCAAGTGTGATTTTGTACAAGAAGAACAAATGTCCCGGACTCCCCCTTCTACCAGAGTTTTGCGACGCGTCTGTTGTAACTTTAACTTTATTGCTACTGCCAAACAAGACGCGTGAGAAAGCGACTCAGTGTCTGTCGGCTACCCAGGCCAGCCATAACCACCCTTTTTGCCAGCGAAGCCCCAACCACGCCTTCACTTCCAGCCGCCGCAGTCCAACTCTCGACCCATCTCTCGACACTGGTTGCAAGCACAGCTCGACAACCTTCGCGGCGCCTACGTCACCGGGACAACGGTTGACAACTTCCCTCGCGGCTGTCGCTGCAGGTCGAATGTGCGCGGCCTAGAGCATGGACCAATCTGGGCCGACAAGCCCGAATTCCCTTCGACCTTCACCTCACTCACAGTCACCACGACGACTCCACGCTCGCCCCCCGCTGCTTACACGCCGGCTCCTGCGTCGCCAGTGCAGCCCGTCCGCTGGTCACTGACGAACCGCATCTTCAGCCTCAACTTGCGCTCGCTGTACCAGGGCCCGCCGCGCCAGCCCGCCTCGCGTCTTTGGAACCCCGTGAATTCGTCTCCGCGTGCCCTCCAGATCGAGAACCCCTCGCCGCCACCACCGCTCCAGCCGCCTGCAGCAGCGTCTGTAGCCGCAGTTGCACCACCACCCCAACCTGCCCCGCGCGAGGAGTACTACCCTAATCTGCCCATTGAGCGCGACTTTGGCGCCAGAGACCAAACCCGTGACGAGTATCCTCTTCTGACCCTGCCTGAGCGCCGCCTCAGTCGTCACAGTCCGGTGCCGAGCTCTCTTGTTGTAGAACGTTCCACTGCCGAGGACAGTGTCTGCATCAGTGGTCGCACCAGCATCGGCCTCCCGCGCGACCGAAGGAGTCAGCCACCTACACCGCGCTTCGCAATGGCTTCTACCCAGGATGCCCGCGACAGTGCCTCGCCCGTCCAGCACAACGACAAGGACGTCGAGGCCGGTCGCAACCAGCAGTCGGCCGTGTCTCGCGTCTCCTTACCCACGTCGCAACGCTCCTCAATGGGCTCCCACGATGATCAAGGGGACGACGACGACGGCGCATCAGAGTTTCCCTGGGGCCCCTCGCATCCGTGCTTCCCCCATCCGAACCCACATGTGCCACTTGACTCTGAGCTGTACAACACGACGCGCATCATCCGCATAAAGCGCGACTGGATGATGAAGGGCGACCTCGCTCCTACCTTTGCCAATCTCTACCCGGAGATCTTGGACCCACTAATCCTGGAAGACGACTTCCGCACACTTATCAAACATATTAATGACACGCTGATTGCCGCCTTTGACCCCTTCACCTTCCGTGCCTGTCTCGACACCGTCATGGGCGTTGCCACTTTTTGGCTATGGGAGGATGCGGGGCTGACAGGCGTAAAAAAGCAATTAGTCGCACTGGAACGATGGATCGAGGATTGGAATCGGGACGTCGGTGTCAAGGAAGCCGTCAGGATCATTCCCCTGCGCCGGACAGGTTACTTGACTGTATGTATACCCATACATTGTGCCACATTATATCGCATTGCATTGAACTAACGTGTTTCTTTTCTAGCTCGACATTCAAATACCTGATCCTCACCTCGGCCCCGACACAGGCACGCGCCCTCAAACGCAAGAAGACCAAGTCATCCTTGACCAGCACCACCATCAAGGAGTACAATACCTACCGTACCCCATTACACCTACTCTACAGGTTAATTCTCAACCCACATCTCTCGGAGCGCATTCATAGCAAGCAAGCTTTCACGGATAAAGCTACGAATAAGAATGAACAACAAGAAGCAGAACTAAACAGATACCGATACATATTTCAGGGTCACGACATGGGTACATTAGCGCGTATCTCTGCATTTACCATCATGCATTCATCATCAGCACAGGACGTTTTGGAGTTTTTTTTGGTTTCGAGTTCGAAATCGTCTGATTGGTTGCGGAATGTCTTCCGCTCTCTCTCCCTTTTCTTTTCTCTTTCTTTTGTTCAACTTCCTATTGGCTCTTATTATCCAACTGTTCCTCATGCGTGCTCCTGGACAAAGTTGTTTATAACGAATGTTTTTGGCGGTTCGGTTCATCAACTTAGACAAATCATCTGAAGATCGCAGCGACGCACGCCACGCTACGCCTTTGAGGCATAATGTTTTGTTTTTTTCAGAATCTCACTTTCACGTCTTTGCGAAGACGGGCGGGGCTGAACTTTTTTTATACTCTACTTGAGAGCATTGGAGTCCGCTTTGATTGATACCCAGTTGCATCATGTTATATATCTTATTATACCGGCGGTGGTTGGTTGGTGGTGGCGGTGGTGCGTAATTCATCTTTTCTATATCATCAAATCGTTACTATGAATATCTTGACTGAAATTCTCTCTCAGGCGTAGTGTGCGTACGTCATTATTCAGGGTCTAATTATTCAGGTAGCAGCGTCTCTTTCTTGATGTGCCGCTTTTTGCTTTGCTTTACGGCTGCTCATTAGTGGCCTCGTCAGCCCTATCTACGCACGCAGGGATTGTTTGTTTTTGGAGACTGGTGGGCTGAGTTGAGTCGGAAGCTGAGCATGAGTCGGTGTTGTTGGAATCTGAGTCGCAAACTGAATCGCTGGGTAGCCGAGTGCACTTCATTTCTGTCGGATCGTGAGTATCGGTAGAGACGTCGGCTGCTTGACACTTCGGCCCGACTTCGGCCCACCTTGCGCAGAGCTTAGGTATACCTTCGTAGCAGCTATGTTCGTAGACAAGAAGAACAATCACCGAACAGAATGCATTACTAGTTATCGTTATTTCCCTTTACGCACTTAGTGCAAAGCCAACCAACAATTTCAGTATTTTTCTTTCTCCGTCTGTTAGTGCCGTTGGCTCACCTTACTCACTGTGCAGTCACTCACTGCAAGCAGGGCTACCGTCGTTTTGACGTGTTGTTGTGAATTCCAACTCTTGAATCATGTGTTTCTGACTCGCGCTTCGCCTCAGCCTTGCGCCGCATTGATCTTGTTCATTTCGGTAATGCCGCAACACACGAATCAATCACCAACAACCTGGGTCTTGGGTTGGGGTACGACACGATATTGCGTCAGGTGTGTTGATTGCGGCTAGGTACGCCAAACGGAACGGAACGGAGTGTCGGCGAGTGTCAAGACGGACGGCGGGTGATCCTGGAGCAGGAGAGGGAATTATGCGCTGGGGAGGGGGGGTTTTTGAGTCGTACACTTGCGTGCTTACGTATGTAGGGATTTGACTCGCAATCGCACTGTCGTGTTGGTGACAATGAGAGAATTGGTAAGTTAAGATTCCCTCTGCAAGGTATACATGCTCGTCAAGTCGTCCATATCAGCCGGATAACATGGGCATGCAAACTGCTGTCTAATGTACAAAAATGTTCTTTGCAATACCTGAGTATGACTTCAAGCCTCAGCTCCAGCATCATCGCCCTCGCCCTCACTTTCCCCTACACCATCTTTCTACCCGCCAACACCCAATCCCAGTAATGATCCCATCCGCCCATCCCAGCAACACCGTAAACTCTATTGCTACTTCGGTCATCACCTGCATACCCACCCGTCCCAGTCCACGGAAAACTTACGCAATACGCCCCGCCCCGTTTTTCAACAACAAACCTGGTTCTTGGGTCCTGGCCTCGCGTTTCCTATCACGGGTGCCGCGTCGTGTTTCTAAATGGAGAGTTTTCGGGCAAGTAGAAGGGGTAAGTAGGTAGGCAAGGGTAGGGGTGATACGGGAGGTGTTGGTGTTTCAGGTATGGGCGCCGACTAGGGTAAGCGGGCTTGGCTGGGTAGGAGGTTGTGTAAGAGGTGTGTAAGGAGTGGGTAAGACTGGCGTAAGCAGAGGGTTGTTTAGGTGTGTGTAAGAGGTGTGTAAGCAGAGGATGTACTTAAGCAGGGTGTTGTTTGGTAGAGTGGGAGGTGAGGGTGTCTGGGAGGTATGTAAGCTAGGTAGGTAGGTACTTAGGCCAAGTGTCGTTCTTTCTAGGGGTATATGTTCTTTGAATGAGATGAGGTTGGATTTGCTATCGAGTGTGGAGTTGTGTAATTACTTTTGAGGGCTGAGTTTTCCTATGGTATGGCAGAATGGGCGACGAGAGTGATGGGTAAAAATATACAGAGGAAGCGGGTTGACCAATTTTTTTATCCGCTTCGTTGTTGGTATAGATTCCCATCTAAGACGGGGGTCTTTTGTACGAATTGAGTACAGAATATTAGGCGATTAGTGTCTACTAGCTATACAACCGCTGTCTTCTCTATATATGTGCAAATCTAAATATGCTAACAAGATAAACATACCCGCACGCTATGCTGTGTGATTTCAACAACACCTCCAACTGCTTCACAACGCAAGGCCACTATTCCACCATGTATCCCCCCTATGCCATCGAGCAAACCGCGCATTCCAGCACCACCATCCATCTCGCTCATCCGCACCTAGCCCCATCCCTCGCAGCAGTGATATTGGAACTGGTTCGAACAGCCACACACCGCCTTTTGCGAAATCGTCACAAAGCAAATGCGCAGTGTAGTAGAACCAGACATGGACATATAGAAACGTCCAGCTCTTCTTTATCCAAGCAGGTATCTTTTGGTCTAAGCCAGCAGACCTTGCGGATTCAGTAAGTGTGGTTTCTACGAATATGCCCACGGCTTGCAGGAGAAAGAAGGTCATTGATCCGGTGATTGGATGTGTTGGGCCTGCACATGTATATACTCCACTTGCATGTATGACGCCACTGAGGAAAAACGCGATGAATAACTGCAAAGCCTTTGCAGCTGGACTCTTTCTGTTCATACCGGTTGCCTCGATGATCTTGCGACTAGGCTCTGAAAAGGCAAAACGAAAGGTTTGGTGCCACCAGTTTCCCCACCAACCTGCGAGGCCTTGTTCTAGAACAATGCTGTAGGGACCCCAGGTAGGCGGGTGGCTCCAGATTTCTGCGCGTGCACCGAGGAAAGATGGGGTCAGGAGGCCACAGAGGATGAGGGGGGCGAGGGCAAAGATGGACTGTAGAGCGTACTGGATTCCAAACATGGTAAGGGCGGGGTGGTAAATATTCCGGAAGACCGGATTTTGAGGCAAATAGGTAGAAGGTGGTGCTCTGTCGATTTGACCCCAGAAATATGGATCGTACATCATAGCAGTCTTCAAGGCGTCCAGGATCATGTAGCCTTTGAAGACTTTCCATGCATTGTCTTTTAGCAGTTTCTCCCTACTCGTATACAGTTTCATCTGTCCAGGGTGGGTTTTGTAGGAGTGCTTTGGGACCATGGAGCCAGAGTTTGCGCGGAGCTGTTCTTGGATGGGTTTAGGTGGCGGCGAGATATTCGAGTTACGGAAGTTCCAGCCTACTCCGCGGAAGCTAGAGAGGAGGTCCAGAACCCAGTCTAGCCGTTCGACGAAAGGCGTGAGGGGATAGGGTTGCCATGCAAATTCACCGTGGCGGTCTCGTGGGCCAGCGTGGCCATTGACAACGTCGGCTACTGCATCATGTCGTGTATCCTTCACTTTCGACTCAGTGTTTCCATTAACTCTGGACCTGTCTTTCCGCAGGCGACTATCTGATCCGAAAACGCCCGTCGTTCTTTCGATCCTCATGAAATCTGTCTGTGCATCATTGCACACGAGAATCGCGCCAAACCATATGACGCTCCATGCACAGAGTAGCCCAAGCACTAAAGCGGATACCAACTCTCTCGCTCTTAGGTACGCAGTCGTATATGTCGCGAAGCTCGTGATCCAAGCGAATGCCAGATATCGACATTTCTTCAGCCATGGCCGATTTTCATGTGGAATCAAGAGGTAGATGATGACGCCTAGTGGCCCGAGCAATGCCCATGGGTAGAGAAATGGCTGATCCTCTCCGGACGCAATGGCCTCGTCGTAGTGCTGATGATAGTAGTCTATCACGTCATAGTGGGAGCGTGGCCACGAATCCGAAGGCTTGAACAACATATCAAGGAAACAAACAGAAGGCGACGCGAATGTAGAGAATGCAGAACATCAGGATAGGAAAGAGCATAAAGAGACACAAGACAATGAACGAGCGTAAGCGTGGCACAAAATGCTCACAGCTCTTACCCTAGCCAGTTCAGATGACGCACTGCATGTCGCATTCGCTAAGGAAAGTGCGCTAGGCCAGGAATAGGAGCGGCGCTGATGTGACGGCGCCGCAACACCAAACCTTCATACCGTTGTGATATCGCAAGGTTACAGCCGCCGCGAGATATCTGTGCTTTTACTCACCCCAGCCACTCTCTTGCCGAGTCTACAGAAGAAGCCAAGCCGCCAAGATGGTGAACATTACGGAGAAGATCAAAGAGTGGGATGATGCTGAAGTTTTGATGTGCCAAGCGCTAACGCCCCGCCAGGATCGAAGATGAGATGCGAAGGACGCAGAGTGAGTTTCACGGCTGATGGGATGAGATGACATACTGACAGAGCGTAGAGAATAAGGCGACAGGTATGGTGATGCAGTTTTGGGCGATTGTCTAGGTGATGTCTGCATATCACGTGCTGACCGAGACATAGAATACCATCTTGGTCTACTGAAAGGGCATGTGTTCGGAAGGTATTTTAAATAGTTTCAGCAACTAACTATGATATAGAAAACTCGCCCGTCTTCGTGCACAACTCCTCGAGCCTGCAGCAGGTGCGGGTGGCGGAGGAGGAAGCGGTTTCGATGTATCAAAGTCGGGTGACGCACGTATAGCCCTTGTTGGCTTTCCATCGGTCGGAAAGTCGACATTCCTGTCAAGAGTCACCAAGACGAAATCAGAAGCAGCATCCTATGCCTTCACTACGCTCACAGCGATTCCCGGTGTGCTTGAGTATGGTGGAGCCGAGATTCAAGTTCTGGATTTGCCGGGTATCATTGAGGGTGCTGCGGAAGGCAAGGGACGAGGACGACAAGTTATCAGTGCGGCAAAGACGAGTGATTTGGTTTGCATGATTCTGGACGCTACGAAGAAGGCAGAGCAGAGACGGTTGCTCGAGGCAGAATTGGAGGCAGTCGGAATCCGACTAAACCGCGAGCCACCGTAAGTCTGGACTAGTTGGTATAATAAATCCAAACTAACATGACAGAAACATCTACCTCAAGCCGAAAAAGGCCGGTGGCATGAAGATCAACTTCCAGGTCCCGCCCAAACATCTCGACGAGAAGATGGTGTACAACATCCTCAAAGACTACAAGATGCTCAATTGTGAAGTGCTCGTCCGAGACGAAAACGCCACGGTCGACGACTTCATCGATGTGATTATGAAGGATCACAGGAAATACATCAAATGCCTCTACGTGTACAACAAGATTGATAGCATCGGTCTGCCGCATTTGGACGAGCTGGCGCGCGAGCCTCACACGGTAGTCATGAGCTGCGAACTCGATCTCGGGATTCAAGATGTGGTGGACAGGTGCTGGGAGGAACTAAGGCTAATCAGGGTTTACACCAAGAGAAAGGGCAACGATCCAGACTTTTCCGAGGCGTTGATCGTTCGTCACGGAAGCACCATCGAGGACGTTTGCGACCAGGTGCATCGAACATTGAAGGAAACATTCAAGCACGCGTTGGTGTGGGGAGCGAGCGCCCGACATGTGCCACAGAAGGTTGGATTGGGACATGTGGTGGCAGATGAGGATGTCGTTAGCATTGTGGCGAAATAGTCGGGCTCGGCCGTGTCGAGACGGAGAGTGATTCCTGAAGCGGGTGTCGCAGCCCGAAGTGATTTGTGGTGCAGTAGCCGGACGAAAGCAAGCGCATTGAAGACCATCTGTTCGCTACGTCGGACAAGGAAAGATGCCTGCGAGGAAATTAATCAAGGTATAGACGGGTGAAACTCGACTATTGCGCCCTTTTCGCTCGACGTTGAGTCAACAAGTGCCCAAAGCAGGCTGGGCAAAACAAAGACGACTGCTGTACATATGAAAGTCAGTGGCGCGTGGCGCGTGGCGTTGTCCGAGCATGCTCCGAGCATGGGCTGTTCACCATCTGATAAGTTTTGCTGGTCAGTCCACTTTCGGCACCAGCGGATGCGTGATTTCCGAGGCGCCAGATTGTGATGTGAAGTCACGTGAGAAAGTCTAGTGTCGAGCATCACAGCCTGATTGGCAGGCCACGGCCCGTTGCAACGAAATGCAGTTAAGATAGACCCTGGCGCCAGGGATAGTTACCTCTCGGCGCGCTGAAAAAGTTATCGCCGATAGTTGCTGCGACCCGTTTATTGCCAGCGCCTTATAGGGAAGCCGTCGCCGTCGCCTCCGCCGCTTGTTGACTTCTCCCTTGCTAAGGTGAAAGAGTGAATTGCTATTGCTGTTTTCTGCCCCCGTTCCTGCATCCGTCCAGACGTCACCATCTCCCTTGTGCGACGACGGTGAAAGCCCATCTGTGTTGTGTGCGCCTGCCCATCCCGAAGACCGCGAATCGCAGCCCTTCTGTACCTGAATCCTCCGACCACCGAGCCACTCGCTCGCTACCCACAACAAACATGGACGTCGTGCTGGAGCTAGCAGACACTTTCTTATTCGATCCCCTCTACGCAAAGCTGTTGCCTGCAGCTACCCACGTCTTTGTTTCTAACGCGACGACATCGACGATCAAAGTAGAGCCGACCGCCTACGCCCTTCCCCACACCACTTCCTGGCAGTATGAGCCGTCGACGCAATTCTTCTCCATCACCCCGTCAAAGTATGCCTACATGAGCCAATGGCCACGCGACGACTGGCGACGTCAGCTGCTGTCGCTGTATCTCGTCACATGGTATGCGCCTATGAGACACGCTGCAAGTGTCCTGCTAACACGCAACAGGCTGTTTGGTGTCGTCGTCTACTACGTCTTCGCGACCGCCTCATACTTTTTCGTCTTCGATAAGACCACCTTCAACCACCCGCGCTACCTCAAGAACCAGATCAAGCAGGAGATGAAGCAGGCCAACATTGCCTTCCCCATCATGGCCATCTTCACCGTCCCCTGGTTCCTCGCCGAAGTCCGCGGATACTCGATGTTGTACGACACCACAGAACAGGGCCCCGGCCAATGGTACAACTACCTACAGTTCCCCTTCTTCCTCCTCTTCACCGACTCGTTGGTCTACTGGATCCACCGCGGTCTGCACCACCCGCGTGTCTACAAATACGTCCACAAGCCACACCACAAGTGGATCATGCCGACACCCTTTGCCTCGCACGCCTTCCACCCGCTGGACGGCTACGCGCAGTCGCTGCCCTACCACATGTTCCCTTTCATGTTCCCACTCTCAAAGTACGCCTACGTGGCCCTTTTCGTCTTCGTCAACATCTGGACCGTCCTCATCCACGACGGCGAATACGCGCACAACTCGCCCGTCATCAACGGCGCCGCCTGTCACACTATGCACCACCTGTACTTCAACTACAACTACGGACAGTTTACAACTCTCTGGGACCGTCTGGGTGGCAGCTACCGCAAGCCCAACGACGAGCTCTTCCAGAAGGAACTCAAAATGTGCCAGAGCGAGTGGAAGAAGCAGGCCATGGCCGTTGACAAAATGGTTGAGCAAGTAGAGGGCAACGACCACGACCGCACCTACGTCGAGCCAAAGAAGCTTCGGTGAAGCAGCATGCTCCGGTTTTTATTGTCCATGTACGGGAAAGAATAATTTGACATGTCGTTACGAAAAGGGTTTTTACGGTCGGTTAACCAACGAACAAGGCTTGGAGGGGCATCAATGTGCGTCCTTTGCATAGCATGCGTGGGTCCTTTTGGAAGATCGCAGGTTCGATCTTGCTTTCTTTTTTCTTCACATGTCCTCTATTCTAATCACTCTCGCGCCTGCGTTTTCTTGTACATTTTATATTCTGGTGTTGCCCTTGGCTTTTCTTGCTGTTCAACACTAGAAGAACGACGTGGAGGGTATATGGGGGGGGGGTTGGGAAAAGATGACATGTCTGTAATATTACTCAAGATTTGGCTTGTTATTTGTTGCTGGGTGTTGTTGGTGGTTGCATGGACGTTTGGAGAGATGCGTCCGTTTTCTTGTCCGTCCGTCTGTCTTGTGCTGTTTTAATAGAATACATCTATAATAGTTAATATGAGAACGTCGACACGATTGCATTTATCAGGCTTACATGAGTGGGGATATTGCGTTATATCGAGGTCATCACGTCATCGCCTTGAGCATCCGCCAACTCCCGCGACGCTCTCGCAGCAGTGTTCTTCACTACGACTATTGCCTAGAAAAACTCAACACCCATCGAAGAAAAGCCATCATACTGCAAACTTGTATCACTCAACGCCCATACACATATGATTATCGCAGTTGCTACCTATCCCCCCATGCCTATGCCCCACGCCCATCACATCACCACCCCAAAATCTGACCACTGACGCAATAAATACCCCAAGCCGACACGTGGAGCGGGGTAACGTAAGAGTCTAGTCCATCTATGACGCTCTCTCCCTCTTGTCTTACCTACTTATTCTTTTCTTAAAATTTGCATCATCCCTCATTTCTTGCTTTCGGTCCGTTGGGGGCGGGGCCCTTTTCGGTCCGGATGTGCGGAGGGGGGTGAGATGACGTTGTGTGTAGTGGGGTAAGATGAGATGGGTGGGTTTATCATGTAGTAGGGTGAGAGAGATATTGTGGGTGGGAAGGGGAGAGATAGCAGGAAAGGGTTAAGGAGGTAGGGAGGAAGAGGTGATATGAAGTAAGGGTTTAGAATAGAGCGTACCAAGGAGAACAAGGATTATATACAGTTCTAGTTCCAATATGGGTACATTAATAGGACTAGAAGGGTGTAAGGGGGAGGGAAACGAGTAGAGGTACTGGTTTTACAGTCGTAGACTAGTCACTTTACAAATGGTTAAGTAAGAGAGCCCTCTATGGAACGATAAGATAGTCATATATATTCATAAACACGATAGGTTGAAGGTGTTAGAGCTACAGTCGCCCAGAATCTACTTAATCATTAACTAGTACATTATCTAGTAACATAGTTTGAGACGTCTTTTTAGCGAGAGGAGCTTTTGGCATGTAAGATAGCAACGTAGATGCTAGGGGAAGAGATAATTAATTGATAAGTGTGGTCCCAATACGAAGGGGATCAAGAGATTCCGAGAGGGTGTCAGACTAAGTGCAGGGCCGAGGGAATGCGTGCATAAGGTAGTGAGCAATAACAGTGTAGAAAGGCATTTATCTAATTAAACGCAAACTTAATAACTATATATTTATAATCTACTTATGCGGGTATCTAAGAGATTCCCAAAGCTTGTTTTATTATAAAGATAGCAAGTAAGTATTACTGTTGGGACATGCGCGTACAGCCAGCCCGGCGTGGATGTATTTTAGATAGCGAGCTTTTGTCAGGCCTACGCAATGCGAGGTGTACAATATATACTATTCTACCACGATGATAAGGAGTTCACTGATCATAAGTACCTTTTTGGTTGCATAGCGTAGTGGGCGTAGACCTACGTTCTGACAGCTTTCCCGGGCTGGAAGCTTGGACCACTACTGTAGTTAGACCAAGCTTCCCGCTTAGCTCGCACCCGTACATAGGGAGATCTCTCCACCCAGCTCTTGCTCACTACTAATCAAATATCATATACTTTGTTCGTTGCAACGACAGTGATATTCGACACCTTTGCCGTGTCAACAATTACTTAAGGGAAAGAGAAGAGTATTAGAGAGCCGGAAAAACATATAAACCAAGACTATTACTAAAACTTGGAATTTCTTAATATCAAAAGTTAGAGGGGCTACAAGAGACTATGTAGTAACAATGAGACAAGATTAACTCTCTTGTAGACATAGTGAACCGTAGTAACTCGTATCTAAGAAGTGTAAAGGTACGTAATCTCGAAATCGTAACTATAATTGTTGTGTAAGACTTCGGACCTAGTATACTGTGCTGATTCTGGAACGGTACTATAATACTCTGAAGTACAATAACACTGCAGTCACTAAGGATAATAGTAAAGGTGTACCAAACTTATAGTATCTAGGATAAGCCAGTGCACTACAGGATATACAGATAAGAAAAGTAGATCTAGTCAAGTCTAGTGCTTAGAAACATTGACGTGTAAGTATCTACAAATATAAGTAATACTAAGTTTCTAGACTATATAAGGAAGATATATTACTCTCTTACTCGCAGTCTAGTTATATACACAAAACGTAAAATGTAAATAAAGATCTAAACTAATATTCGTACCATTACCTTACGTACCCTATTACTCCAAGATTACTAATTTACTAATGAGTAATCAAAAATTAATCAACATTTTCGGTCGTATATCTTAGAGCATATGGAGGGTACCTGTAGAGGGGTTCTCGTCGATTAAGTCTCATACAAAAGTAGAATCTGGAGAAGTGGTGTCTAAGGAGATTTCGCCTCTAGGTAATGCAAGGCTTGATATGTAATGTGGCGGTGTTCCGATAAAATGTACGTATTATTTTGTGGTGAGACTGATATTCCTTACACCATACCATCGAGACACTGAGCCAGAGACTGTGTATACACTTTGTTACGACCAAGATGTACGCGAACAGTAGTAACTTATCCATAGAGGAAACCAGTGGAGGAATCTCAAACACCACTTTTCTCTCGCACGAGCACCTTGCTTCACGCATATTTTGATAATCACCGCTGTAGAGTCTTTCATTCCGCCGAGTTATATTAGACCTTGCTTGCAACCAACGCTCAAATGAGGTTATCAACGTGGTTTCAGGACGGGAGCTTCAACAAACGTTACTAGCTCTTCCTATCCAGGCCCAAAGACCTCTGGTTGACCTGCATATTGCAATATCACTACTCCCATGAGCTATTGAGTAGTCAAAGACTAGAAACTGGTAGGCTCATACTATCCCATGGGTGAAAGAAACAATATTGGGAAACTATCCCGAGACCTAAACACTGACAAATCCTACACCACATCCCACAAGCCGCGGAGAGTAACTCCCCCGCAGGTACACAAGACACCCAAACCCTAGCATCCCAACTACAATTTCCCCTACCGGAACCGTCCCCTGTCCCCCATCCCGCTTCCAAAAACCCCTCAAACTCTTTTGGCATGAGCTGAGTCAACCCTCCGCGGAACGTCCTTATCACTTCACAACATCACAATTCTTTTAGTCGCAAAGTCACTTTCCCACTACCATCTTCAGCCGCTCGGGTGGCTCCCAACATCGGTCCCAGAAAAGGTGAACAGCACAAAATAGGAAGCAACTACCCGAACGAACGGAACCAAACACAGACGACGATAAAACGTTATATTTAGCCCGCTAAACTGAATCTCAACGGGAACTCTAATCTAATCTCCACGCCAAAAACACATTCAGCTCAACGACTCTAAACACCACAGTTTATCGAAAAGAGGTACCAGCGCTACCAAATCCACTCCTCTTCCTTCACGGCACTATACCAACCCCACAGATCGCCGTTAGATCACCCAAGAAACCAAAGTCCCAAGAAAAGATAGACAGAGAGAACCGCATCAACGAACCTGACTCAACCCCGCCCATCACCCTCACCCACCCTGACTTTCTCTCTCCTTCAAGAAACCCAAACCTAAACCCAAACTACCCACTTACCCTACATCTCTAGCACAGCTCCCCATGCCCATCCCCAACCCACGCTCTCCGCGGAGCCCAAGCTCCCCAAAAAGCAACCTTCCCCACCCCGCAGCAACACTAACATGGCCCCATCGCCCTTAGCCTTCCAGACTTGACCCCCCGATAATACTTCCTCAACCGAATAACACTACCGATGCATACTTGACAAGATTTTCCCTGCACCAGCACCAGTAGCAGGGGAGAAGAGAATGGGAAGACGCTAATTGAGTCTCTTGCTGTGTCTGTGGGTCTGCTGCGGGATGAGACGGAGACGATAGGGTTTATCCTTGTTTCGTGGTGCAGATGGGCTACCGGTAGTCGTGGCTAGTGTACCGGGTTTTATGGTTGATGATGTGCATGTGGTATGCAGTGCGGTTGACCTGTGCTGGGTTGAGCTACGGTATGCTGGGGGTTGGGTCAGGAAAGATGGAGCACGTATACCAAGCCATGTCTGTATGCGGAAGGTTTTTATCAAAACACCTATACGTGTCTTCGAAATTGCGTTAGTCTTTAGTCGTTAGTCGTTGGCGGTTAGTCACACTATCTACACATCCAAGAATTAAGCGGTGGGTATTCAACCCTCCAGTGCGATGGTGGTGTTGAGGATTGGGTCCCTCTGCAGCAAGTCGCCAATGGCAAAAAAATCCGGTACACAAAAGACCCAAAAGTCAAACACGTGTATATCTCCTTACCGACTCTCTTTCAAAATGTTGAGCTACCGAGGAGAGGAGCTAAATCAGTAATATGGAGGTGTAGGCGTACATGAACTGGTTGGTCCACTGGTTTTACCCACCCAACAGCGGACACTAAGGGCTTATGTACATGTGCATTATGCGTGTGATTGCTGCTGTAGAGCAGATCATTTCACCGGAACCTTGGGTGGATAGTTATGTGGCGGTTGTGGATACTGTACCTAGGTGTGACAGGCATGACAGGTGCGTTGAGTGCGTTGGAGCCCTGGACCCTGAGTGCAATGGATGGGTGGAGTGAAGGAAGGCGCG